TCAGAATTATAATTGTATAATAAATAAAAAGAAAACAAATAGATAGAATGCAAAAAGATTAGAGAAGCAAGTGTTCGTTTTTTTTTTAAAGAAAACAAGCAATTCGTAAATAAATAGAGTGCAAGTCTAAAAGGGAGTCCAGCCTGGACAGAACAAGAGCTTGAACAAGGAGTTGGGTTGCATGTTCTGAAAGAAAGGGCCTGATCTTCTTGATGTTGAATAAAACGAATCTGCAGGACTGGGCAGTTTTAGCAATGTGGTCTGAGAAAGTCAGCTGATCATCAATCATAACTCCAAGGTTTCTGGCTGTTTTTGAAGGAGTTATGGTTGATGTGCCTAACTGGATGGAGAAATTGTGATGAAACGATGGGTTTGCTGGAACCACAAGCAGTTCTGTCTTGGCAAGGTTGAGTTGAAGGTGATGGTCCTTCATCCAGCAAGAAATGTCTATTAGACAAGCTGAGATGCGAGCAGATATCGTCGGATCATCAAGATGGAATGAGAGGTAATGTTGAGTGTCATCAGCATAGCAGTGATATGAAAAGCCATGTTTCTGAATGACAGAACCTAGTGATGCCATGTAGACAGAGAAGAGAAGTGGTCCAAGAACTGAGCCCTGAGGCACCCCAGTAGTTAGATGTTGTGACTTGGACACCTCACCTCTCCAAGATATCTTGAAGGACCTATCTGAGAGATAAGACTCAAACCACTGGAGTGTGGTTCCTGAGATGCCCTTTGCCAATAGGGTTGACAGGAGAATCTGGTGGTTAACCGTGTCAAAAGCAGCGGACAGATCCAGCAAGATAAGTATTGAAGATTTGGAATCCGCTCTTGCCAGTCTTAGGGCTTCAACAACTGAGAGCAAGGCAGTCTCGGTTGAATGTTCACTTCTGGAACCAGACTATATGTCAGTAAACACATATGTCAGTATTTGGTATGTTGGTGTATATATTTGGCATCAACTGGTCTAACAATGCATTTTTTTTTTACCACTAGATCTATCTATTTATGTGAAAATAACTGGATTGAGATGCTCATGGGCTTTGAAAAGTGTAATGGGTAATTTGATGCATTAAATTGGTAAAGGATGCAATAAATCGATCAAAGTGACAGTAAAAACATGACAGTAAAGACTGGAGTATGGCTTCTACATTGCTATGAACAACAGCATTTATTTGATACAGAAACCTCATAAATGAAAAGTTACATTAAAAGCCTCAATGTGTTTACTGTCACTTTTGATCAGTTTAATGAATCCTTCCCCAATCCTGCATCAAATCACTCAATACACTTTTCAAAGCCCATGAGCATTTCAATCTCTATATAATTTTCAAATACAAATTTTGAAAGATAGATCTAGTGGTGAGCATAAGAGACTTATATCAAACTAAAAAATCTTACTGACCCCAAACTTCTAAACTGAACATTTTATATACAATATATAATCTTCGAAACTGTCTTCTGTAAAAGAACTATTCTAGCATTCATAGCATGCCTTGACCATTATCTGTTTTAAAGTTATATAGTGCCCTGGATTTTCATTTTGATTCTGTTTATTTTCTGTCACAGATCTCAGTCTGGCTCTTTGGCTTTTCATCTCTTTTTTCTTTCAGCCGCCCCCAGTCTCTTTCCATTGCTTTTGAAGGTTGTACAGTCATTGACTCCTGATGTGTACAAATCTTGGAAATTGTCCAAGATGACCCACTGACCTTCATTTATCACGCTGCGATAAGAGCCACATTAGAATAAGGCTTATTAATGTAGAAAAAAATCTGCCTTTTCACTCCCATCAATGCATCCAAAATGCTTCTCTCTGACTCTATATATCCAGTAATTCTCAGGTCTTTTTTTACTCAGATCTCAATGTACTTCTCACTGCCGCCACAGTCATATTCAAGACTCCATTCCTGGCCTACAATGCAGTCAGCACCATTATTCTAATAACTATATGCCATAATCCAATCGCACGCCCACAACCTTCACACTACAGTCAGAATCTTTACTCCCTACACATTTAAAGCAGGCATCCTGAGTACTTGCCCACAATGACTAAATGTTGTCTTGTGAAATACTGCCCCCTTTATTCTGTATAGTACCAGCTGTAGCCTCTGTACAGAATAGACAAGCATAGACAAAAACATAAGCTAAATCCAAAACAAGCTACTAAGGTGGGGTATTTGAATAATAAAAAGGCAAGATGTCAATGCATGGTTGTCAAGAGCCATGTAAAGGTTGGTCAATGCAAACTGTTTTCACAAGTGTTTTAACTGTTTTAACACAATATCTGCTGCATAACGTATGAGCTGGCTCAAACAGTACAATCATTCTGATAGCACATACACATTTCTACAACAGAGTATGAGAGACCCGAGTTTTGTTGAGCATTTCTCTGTCTTGCGAAATATAGTATTTGTTTTCCAGGTGATAAATATAAAGTATTTGTGGCTTAAATACAGTGCTGCTGATGAAACTGGTTTTCTAAAGCTCTCTGTTGTAAAATAGAGTGCCAAGAGAAACAGGCAGGTGGCGTAGTGGGAGTAATATTTTGCTTTCATACAACCAACATTTCAAACGGGCTGCTTTTACCACGAAAGCAGTCTGCCCCTGTTCGTTCGTGGAAGGCGGCCCCGCCTCCCCACTCTCATGTTTCTCTCCTCCCATTTACTCGGAGGTAGAAATGGCGAACTCTCGGGGATGAACGATCAGGCTTGAGTAGGGATGGGTTATTAAACCCAGTATTTAATCGGTCCCGGGGCTAAATTATGAAAGACCGGAGTATCGATAAGCTCTGACGTTAACGGTTCTGCTATCGGCACTTGAGAAATTAATAAAACACACATACATTTAACATTGCTATATATACATTATCTTGCAAATTCTATCTCACCAGAGTCGCCAGCAACAAAAAGTACCGATAAGAATACCGTTAAAGTACCGAATCGATAAGCAGTATCGATAAGAGTAGTAATACCGTTAAAACCTTAACGATACCCATCCCTTGCAGGCCAGGATCCTCTCTGCTTGAAGAGACACGCGCTGCGTTACACAAACAAATCTGACAGACAGCCCTTGACCATATCGCGCTCAAGCTCTCTGGCATTAGTTCACCTGTCAGCTCTCGACCCCTGGGGTGCCGAAGTTGCATGAGTACTCTGGAACAATTAACCAGGCCAGGTGTGACCTCAAGGAGCTCAGCCCGTCTTAGCCTTGGGTTGTTATTAACTTCTCTGTGGGCATTGCTTGCTTACGGAAGTTATGATACTTATAGTCGTTCCTCTACCTTAGCACGGCGTGGTTGTACTGTATTCCCATAGCGTCTTAGCAGACGCAGTACGAGTGTAGTATCGACAGGGAACATACTCGGTTACTAACGGGATATGGGAACGAATACTGTGTTGCTAGCCGTGCTATGTAGCCGCACGACTCAGTCGTCACTTCAGTCGAAGTAACCTGAGAATCCTGTGGCGAACGCTCTCTGGCATTAGTTCACCTGTCAGCTCTCGACCCCTGGGGTGCCGAAGTTGCATGAGTACTCTGGAACAATTATCCAGGCCGGGTGTGACCTCAAGGAGCTCAGCCCGTCTTAGCCTTGGGTTGTTATTAACTTCTCTATGGGCATTGCTTGCTTACGGAAGTTATGATACTTATAGTCGTTCCTCTACCTTAGCACGGTGTGATTGTACTGTGTTCCCATAGCGTCTTAAGCAGATGCAGTACGAGTGTAGTATCGACAGGGAACGTACTCTGTTACTAACGTAACCTCAGTTCCCTGAGATGGATATAGCCACGGCGGATTTTACAGGAACTTATAAATGCATCTATATGAACGGAAATGATTCAAATGAGTCATCTTCGGTTCATGTGTTTGTCAGGGGTGAGTGAACAAACGCTTTCATTTCTGCTTCTGAACTAAACGTACTCAGTTACTAACGCAACCTCAGTTCCCTGAGATATGGGAACGAGCACTGCATTGCTAGCCGTGCTATGTAGCCGCACGACTCAGTCGTCGCTTCAGTCGAAGTAACCTGAGTGGCGAATGCCCGCTTATATAGCCAGATGGCTCCGCCCATTCTGGCGGGCTCTGGCGGGCTTTGTCGTCATTCCCGTATCTCAGGGAACCGAGGTTACGTTAGTAACCGAGTACGCTTCCAAAATTAAATAATTGGCCCCTATTCATTGTTCAAAAGCCAAAATAAACTGATATAAAATATTATTTGGAAAATATGATACAATAATTTCCAAAAAGACAACAACATATTTTATAACACGTTAAATGTATAAACATTAATGTAAAATCCATTTAAAATGTGGGTTTTATTTTAAAACAAAACAAATTGAAAAAACTGTGATTAATCCTATGCTTCCTTGTGTTAAGAAAGAACAGTAACCTTTTTAAAACCTGATAAATGTGTTTTGAAAAATATTATGTTAAACATATTTAATTATGTCAACATTTAAACTTTGACATCTCAAAGTAAAAGGTTGTAAAATCTTTCTTTTTCTCCTCAAGTTTTCAGCAGATCCTACAGCAGAAGCCTTTTCTTCTCTTCGGGGTCCCGGGCCCCAGTTTCAAACCCTCTATACTGAGCTAAAAGTGGTGAATCTTTTATTTATGCTCTTTGTATAAACGCTTGCTTGTTTAATGGATCAGTGAAGAGTGAAGTGCAGAGCTCTCACACACAATCACATTCATCTTTTTTATGTTGTGTTTACATTCTTATCTTTTTCCAAACGATGACTATACACAAACAGGCCGTGACAGAAAGTGTATGTGGCTTTTTGACAGAGCCACACACAGGCTGCTTAGTGTGTGCAGCTCGTGCTCTGCAGCAGTCCCTCGGGAAGGCAGTTGCGATGAACTGGATGTCAACAGATGCATAAGTGGTTGTCGAAGTTTGAGAACTGCAGCACACCGGTGCGCGCGCAGTGGCCTGCCACGACCACTAGGGGGCGATCGAGGTCTTTCCGCGTTGCGCAAACGTGCCTCTCGCGGCGGAGCGCAGCTCCCCAATAACACGAGCACAATGGTCAACGGGCGAGACTGAGCGGCAGACAGATGCGCGCTGCGCATACTTACCTAAGGCTGTTTCACATGGCATCCTAAAACTTTGATACATCTCGATTCTGACGCCGCTTGTGTGATTTATGGAACCTCGCAGCATGCTCTCGGTAGCAGCACCTGCTTTTTGGTGAGTGTGAGTCCAGGCTTAATGCAGCGGTGCATGTTTTTTTGGGGAGGGGGAGATGGGCAGGTGATGAGAGATCCTGTTGAATAAAGACCCAACGGCGAGCCGTGACCAAAACTGTCCTCCCTCGAATGCGATCACACCTGACTGTTAAGGTGTCATGTTCTGCGTTTGGCTACGTCGATCGAGGAATATCTGGATTCTCTGAGCGAAAGGGACATTTTTGACAAACCTGGGATTTACATCCTCAGCCATCTCTAGCTTGTCATATTAAGGGTGGACGCTGAGAAGACATCCTCATATCATTTCCTACGTAAGTGGCTCGAATAATGGAAGGTGGAGTGCATGAGAGGGCTGATAAATTGCGTGCGACGACTGTTTATAATTAATTGTCAAGGGATTTTGGATCAGTAATATCACGCGCTGTTTCCTGTTTCCTTGCTGTAACAATAAGGATGTGCCATAGTATTATTATTATTATTATCGATATGTAGCGAGAATAGTGACATGTCTTTGTTACTGATTACTTTTTTCAAATGCTCTGCTCATGTCGGTATACATATCGATCACAGTCTACATTATGATGAGCAGTTTGCATTCTACAACACGTTTTTCTTTTCTTTGCAGCTGTTGCTGGTGTCAAGCGGATTCAGTGATTCATTCATAGCCACTGAAGGGGCAGAGGACGGAACAAACCTACACCCCACCCCTCCCTCACAGCGAAGATGGGAACCAGTGATTTCATAGGGGAATAAAGTCTCTACGGCGACCGAGCACCTCAGATAACGGAAAGGAGCCGCTCTCTCCTCTTGCATTTAGTTTCCTTTTGGATAACGCAGGCGCGCGCTAAACGCACATGGATTCTAGAACTGTTGGACACATTTTCTCATAATGATGATTATGATGATGATGTCACCAGAAGCACGTCGCTTCGCTACAGATGTAAAGTCCAATTACAATAAGTAAAAGTGCACTGAAAGGCCTTAAAGCACTTCCAAAGGCAGCGGACCTACAGTTCCAGTCAAGTGCATTTATGAACTTGCTGAGCCCGTCTTTTGCTCAGCCTCTTCAGCCCATTTTCCATCATTCTGAACGCTTCGTAGTTTGAGAAGATGGAGTTTGCTATGGTGGGCGCGGACAGCGGGGGCTGCAACACCCACCTGCCCTATGGATATGCACAGGCTCGCGCCCGGGAGAGAGAGCGCGAGCGGGAGAGACAGTCTCGCGCAGCGGCGGCGGCGGCGGAAGCCGAAGCCGGAACGGTCGGAGAGGGAGGTGGGTCCAGTGGCCATTCCCACAACCACCCGCATCAGAGTCGTACCGCCTCTTCAACGAATGCCAACAACAGTAGCGCTGGGACCGCCTCGCGCCCCTCCTCCTCCTCCTCCTCCTCCTCCTCCCAACAGCAGCAGCAGCAGCAGCAACACCACGAGCCACCACAGCAACTTCCCAGAGAGCGAAAAAAGCAAAGAGGCGTCGCGCGCTGGAGACGGAACCGCGCGGCACTCGGCGGGGATCTACGCCACTCAGAGTTGGCGCTCCTAGGATCCGAGGAGGACATCATGATCGAGGAGGAGGAGGCGGAGGGCGAGGAGGAAGAGGAGGACAGGGGAAGCAAGAGGTCGAGTTTTGTCTATAACATGGGTGATGAAGAGGAGACGGTCTCGTTAACGGACAGGCGTCCTCAGTCAGGGTACGAAAATGTTTACAATGAGTACGGCTGCTGCGAGAGAGTTGTCATCAACGTGTCGGGCTTAAAGTTTGAAACTCAACTGAAGACTCTCGCGCAGTTCCCGGACACTCTCCTGGGAGACCCTGAGAAAAGAATCAGGTACTTCGATCCTCTGCGTAACGAATACTTCTTTGACAGGAATCGACCGAGCTTCGACGCCATTCTATACTTCTATCAGTCAGGGGGGCGTTTAAAGAGACCCGCCAATGTGCCGTTTGACATCTTTTCCGAGGAGGTCAAGTTCTATGAACTCGGCGAAGAGGCAATGCTCAAGTTTCGCGAGGATGAGGGCTTCGTGAAGGAGGAAGAGAAGCCGCTGCCCGAGGACGAGTTCAAACGTCAGATCTGGCTACTGTTCGAGTACCCGGAGAGTTCAAGTCCAGCCAGAGGGATCGCGGTCGTGTCAGTGTTGGTCATCGTCATATCCATCGTCATTTTTTGTTTGGAAACATTGCCAGAATTCAGGGACGACAAAGAATTCCTCAGCCCAGGTAAAAACAACACACAGGCAGACAATGGATTTACGCCATTCAACGACCCCTTTTTCATCGTTGAGACGGTGTGCATCATTTGGTTCTCGTTTGAGATAATCGTGCGCTTCTTCGCGAGCCCCAGTAAAGCTGATTTCTTTAAAAACGTTATGAACTCCATAGACATTGTCTCTATTTTGCCTTATTTCATAACTTTCGGCACAGACCTCGCTCAGCAGCAAGGCAACGGGCAACAGGCAATGAGTTTCGCGATCCTGAGAATAATACGACTCGTCCGCGTGTTCAGGATCTTCAAACTGTCTCGACACTCGAAAGGTCTTCAGATCCTCGGGCACACTTTGCGCGCGAGCATGCGAGAACTGGCGCTGCTCATCTTCTTCCTTGTCATCGGTGTCATCCTGTTCTCCAGCGCGGTGTTCTTCGCAGAGGCGGACGAGCCCTCATCACAGTTCACCAGCATCCCAGACGCCTTCTGGTGGGCTGTAGTGACCATGACCACAGTGGGCTACGGGGACATGAAGCCCATCACGGTCGGGGGTAAAATCGTGGGCTCGCTGTGCGCCATCGCCGGTGTCCTGACCATTGCGCTTCCAGTCCCTGTCATCGTGTCCAACTTCAACTACTTCTACCACCGGGAAACTGATAATGAGGACCAGGCGCCCGTTGTGGAACAACCCCCACCGGTCTGTCCGTACTTTCCGAATTTCTTGAGAAAATTCAGAGGGTCCCTATCGGGGTCGTCTTTGGGTGACAAAGCGGCAGAGTACATGGAGATGGAGGAGGGCGTGACAGAATCTCTGTGCGGGGCTGACACGCAGAGCCCGAGCAGAGGGAACGGTACTGACATAGGCGGAAAAAACAGTTCACATTCACGAACCCTACAGACAGATGTATGATTATGGAAGAACGATAATTTTCATAAAGGTGACTGCACAAATGAATCAGTTAACAGCACACATGCACAACTTGAAGACATACAGTATGCGCGTGAGCAAAACACAAGGAGACGCTCACACATACATACATGCACTCATTAGGTTCTGGACCTGAGCTGAAACATTTTTGCGATGTGGCTACTTTTGTAGAGAAACACACCCTGCAATCACGTGACAGGCAACGCAAAAACCACCAGCTTTACGTGACGTGGAGAGGTGTCTCTATCTGCCCACCGGTTCATTAATGAAGGCAACAAAAAGGAACTTGCATAGGCACTTTATGAGTTACATTTGTCAGTAATTGTAGGAAAACAGGCGAGTTCTTATCTAATGCTATTATGCAATAACGTTTAAATCGTTTGCACTATCATGAATTGTGTTATAGTCTCCCAGTTTAATGCAGAGAAAAGAAACGTGTAACGCTGAGGTAGAGAGGGAGGCCATTGAAAAACGACTCGATAATCAACATGACTTGCATTATTAATTAATTCGAAATACTAGCAAAAATACGCTGCAGTCTTCTCTGATGAAAACCAATTCAGCTAATAGTAAAGAATTATTTTAATATATTTGAATTACTATGATTAATGGGAAAGCAGCATGTTGCGTAACTTAAGGCAATGTTATCTTAAATCCCATTATGGCAAACATGTGTCCGCATGGCAGTATTCAGTATGTTCTACACTCTGGTTAAAACCCCTTTTAGCACACACCCTGTGTAGTTATTTGTGCATTGTCAACGGTGACTGAAAAGTCATTTATAGTCAGTCCCTTTTTTGAGTATTGAAAAACAAATCAGTCATGTTAGTTTTTGTTCATTAGCACAATATTTGAAACACCATAATTCATCCATCATGCGATGCGAGGATTCATTCTTTCTAAGAATCACAGTCACATTATGGCATACCGAGGCCAAAATAACCGGTTCACATTGTCTCACATAGTAAACACCTTGTACAGTCAACGACACCATGGCTTGAATGATCAGTTTGGCCACTGTCTTCAAGTTACTGTCATGGGAGTATATTTCAAGGGAATGCTTCATGCAACTATTTGTCTTCATCCCTTTACCAAATGACAATGCATCCCTTTATAAAAATGCTGGCGGAAATGTACAGACAGCACTGAAGGGAACATGAACTTGGTGGACTTCATGCACAGCGAATTCTCGTCCGACTGGAATGCACGATGACCACTGAGCAAGCGCAGTGCTTTGTGGAACCCAGGTAAGCTATTTCGGCGTTAAGATTTTGTTTAGTCACACAGCAATCATGTTGTCATTATTCACGCTCAGTTTTAAGCGGCATTCAGACGTTTATGCATATGCATGGCCCTACTAGTTGTCTGTTATGACTAGGAACAGGTGTTCCACGTGATTTCAGCAGGCACGTTTTCTCTCGTTTAATAATATATCAACAATGTCTTGAATTGCTTAGCAACAAGGGGCTTAATTGTCAAAGAGACGACTAACTGTGCTGTGTTCCCTTGGAATCCAAAAATCCTCATTGCTCATTAAGTGTTCCGAGCTTCATTTTCTGATGTCATAATAGCTGTCACCGTTTTTTGTAGACCAGATAATTACCATTTAATCTCCAGTAAACCGATATTGTGTCATTAATAAGACATACTCTCAGCACGCGCTACAGGGAGATAACTATGGCCTCCCTCGGCCTGCTCATCTCTCACAACACGATTACTTGGCCAATGTGTACTTGTGTAAAATATGCACACTCAATATTAGATTATCATAAGTGCCTTCTGTGTCGTGTCAATCTGGTGCCTTGTGGGCTTGTTACAAGAAAATTGTGTAAGTTGATGAAAAAGTAACCGACAACTGCCATTTATCAGCTGTTAATGCTGTCACTGCTATAAACTATGCACACTATGTACAGTGTTCCTTTTCAGAAGCGATCCTCTTACAGTAGATGCTCTACTGATAAAGAGTTATATACTGTAATGACATGAAATTACAGGCAACATGCTCTGTCTTTAAGCAAAAAAAAAAAAAAAGATTTTAAGCATATTATTACTGTCTTTATGATATAGTTCAACAGAGGTGATGGAAATCTTTTCACTTAAACAGTGTTTACTTTCTTAATGTGGTCTTATTATGAACAATTCATTAGTGCTTGTTATTAAAAAAGTCTTCATAATCTCACCACATTTTATAATCAAAATGTAATAACTTTATAGCTTGCTTTGAAATGACTTTCCTTTTCTGATGTCACTTAGTCAGCACAGACTATTGGATAATTTTAAACAAGTCTAATACTCATACTTTAGAACAGGCTTATATTTGTTAAACCCACATCTAGTAAATTCTAGCTAGATAAAATTAAGTTCTGCTCTGCATTTTATTAGTAAATATCATGATCTTTTAGAAATGCATCATATTATGGATGTAAAATGGGTTGTGACTATCTATCTATCTATCTATCTATCTGTCTGTCTGTCTGTCTGTCTATCTATCTATCGCATATATTATTCTTTGACTTATCTTTTATGGTTTATAATGGACTGTAAATGTTTCACATATTATAGAAAAAAATAGTGAATTTCTTTCATTTTTATGTTATATATAGTATACTTATTCACACAAATGCTCTTTGATACATATCTCATGAGATTTTGTTAGCAATGTTAAGGGAGTGGATTGACCGTCCCATTGCACTGAAAGTAAGAAGTGGTATTGAGTAGTCTTTACTAAACCTTTATGTTTGTTGTTGAAATCTGAAATGATATTCCGTGTAAATGAGGATAGTCCTTAAACATTATGGGATCCTGCTTGCTGAGTCATGCAGTACTTTTGCACATATACACGCAGGCACTCATATTCATGATAACCCAGGCTATTAAGCACTCGTTTACAGGTTAATGTTGCATAGCCTGTGGAGAGGTGTTATGCTAGCTCTGTCTCTTCATGTTCTGCTGTAGTTCATACTGGATTTCACCAATACTTCACAGCACTAGTTATTTGCTGTGCTGAACATTTTTAAAACATTTGGTGCTGGCTGTGTAGTAATGGCTGTTGCCCATCTTAAGCACTTTTACATTTCTCTGGGCCTAAACGTTGTTGTTAATGATTCATTGCATCCAAAAGCTGAATCTGCTTCAGCTTCAGAGGATATTTTCTGAAAACAATCTGCTGTGCTGCAGTCTAGGCATTTGTAAAATGGATACCAAACTAAAAGTTGGCTTCTTTCTCATACTTTATGGCATCTTTCTCTCAATCTGTCTTACTCTTTTCTTTGTTCCTTCCATTTGCCTCTTCTTCTAAAAGGTGGAAGCATATCCCTCCATTTGTGACAGCCTCCTTCACTTCTCTGTAGAACAACTTATAGAATCACACGCATGTCAGAGATGGAAAAAAACAATGCAATTCTTGTGAGATCAGTGGACTGTACAGTTCGCAATGCATGCTATTTGTGTAGGTCTGCATGTGTGCACTTGCTTGTCTGCAAGAGCGTAATAAATCAATAAAACCCTTCACCCACATCACCTTCATAAATATCAGACTCAATGCCACAATAAATGGATATTAAACTAGATTTCCTAATATCAATCAGCCATGACTACAAAAGACATTTTGCCATATTGATAGATCAGTGTAACAGCACTCATTCCCATAACACTGACTCTCTGTAAATATCAAGGCAGTGTGGAGAGCCAGAATAATGTGGCATTAATCCAACCGAAAGCAATCAGCATCTCTCCACTCAGGGCATTAATTAGCTGCCGTGCGTGATGTGTGTAGTATGACACAGAAGTGTAGCTGGCCTTGGCTTGATCACCATACCCACACATACATTGGGGCTTAGTGCATGATGGGAAAATAAACAGCACTATAGATTAGAAACTGAGTTGTCATAACAGATTTTTCACTCCATAATCCTCTCGTCTTCTCTCTGTACACCCAAGCAGTATAAACAACAGACAGTGTTGCATGTGTTAAAATCAGTTGGGCAGCAAAACACAAGCTACCCTTATGTAACTTTAAAATTAGTGATTTTATTTCTGTTATTTCTTATTGTTGCTGAAGTGTCCTCTAAACTGTTGTTAGTGTCAAGTGCATTGTGTGGCCCCAAGCACAGGTGATGTGATGCCACTGAAAAATTAGCATTACTCCTTGTTCTGTGTAGAGCAATGTTTAACATCTTAATGACATAGAGGTACATGTTCATGCTCAGAGGGGTGCAAACTAGGTTTTTAGGATCACAGGGCTTGCTAGCACCAGTGTATATAGAGAGTTTGGTTTGGATAGTGTCCAGTGGTTTCATTCGGTGAGTCCCTCAGCTAAGAAAAAGTTCAGTAAGAGGGTCAATGATGTATAAAAAAACAGTTTAATGAATCATGTAGAGCAAACATCAAGTAAAATGTGATTTTTACAAATTTTAACTGAATGCATGTGAGTGTACACATCTTGAGCAGTACGGTCCCACATGTGTCCCTGGGAGTACGGTAAAATATGGGATTTTAGAATGTACAGCGACGTCACATATCTGCCAGATTCAAATGTGCTTTCATGCTTTGCCTGGCGCTGAGCTCCGTGCCTGTCATATATATCACAACTATGCAGTGTTTTCAACCATATAATGTTTATTTTAGGTTTCAGACATTTAAAAACAAATAAGTATTAAGGATGCCACAATTCTCAATATAATATTGAACCATTCTATAAGACATCCACGGTTCAATACGAGCTTGTGAGTTTTTTTTTTGTTTTTTTTTTAGGTTTTGCATTTAAATAATTTTTGTGCGTTTTATTTCTCTCTGAATTAGCTCTGTTTGTGTGTGCCCGTGAGTCTACACGCTGAGATGAGAAAATGCCTCCCATCTTATCCAACAAAAGAGAACATTATAACGTACTCCACAACATCAGTCGAATGTTTGAAAAAAACGTCCTTTTGTGATCGGATGTGGCTTCTAATCACTGAATAAGGCAGAAAATATATTCCATACTGCAAAAAAGGCTATGTTGATTAGCAATGGATTATAAATATACATAATTACTAATTACTACATTAATTACTATGAAAACACCCGAGATGGCTTGAAGAACAGAGATAAAAACTACACATTGTCACAGTCAAGTGTTTATTGTCTTCATGTTTCATGATTCAAAACCTTTCTATCTAAAAAAAAAATAATTTGTAAACGAGGTATGTATTGAACCGTGGGCTACCTGTATTGTCGCATCCCTATAAGTACTAGCAAAACTAGCAATACTGTCATACAGTGCTATTGTGGCTACAGTATGTCACATGCAGTGTTGGGAAGGTTACTTTGGAATAGGTTACAGATTACAAGTTGCCCTGTTTAAAATGTAATAAGTATAATGCAACACGATTTCAGCAACTATTTCAGTTACTTTATTAAAGTAATGTAACTGATTACATTTGATTACTTTTTCATTACTTTTCTAAATTTCTAATGAATGTTTTCAACTGAACCAGGCAGGGTTAACCTTACAGTATAGTACTCAACACTGATTACTGTCAAAAGCCTCAAAAATCCAATTGAATTAAGATTATAAAATTATAAAAATTATAAGAATATTTTAATCATAAGATTTTAATTTTAAAGCACACCCACCACAAAATCTGATTTTAGTACCTCTTTTTACTTTGAGATCATTCTGAGGTTAAATACAGATTTAAAATCATAAGATATAGTTTAATAGCTATGATACGGTTTTTGAAATCAAATATTTGCGTAGCAAATATGTCAGGAAACATTGGCATCTAACAATGCCTTGGAAAAAAACAGTTAATCTTAAAAAATAAAGTACATACATAAACCCAAATAGAAAATAAAACAGTTATCGAATAAGCATGTGTCCTAAACTCCTGAAACATTGGTGTCTCATATTTTAGAGCAGTCAATGCATTTTGGAAAATCAATTAAAGCTGTATGCATGTGAGTGTGTGTGTGTGTGTGTGTGTACTGGTTTAACTATACTTGTGAGGACCAAATGTCCTCACTTATATAGTGAAAAATCATGATAACCCACTAGTGAGGACATTTGACTGGCCCTTTCTAGTTTAAAGGCTTATAAATCAGCCAAAATATGTTTTTATTTAAATCTAGTGTTTTGCACAAATTTATTTGAGGGGTAGGTTTAAGTTTAGGGGTTCGGTTAGCTGATAGAAAATAATCAATGGAAGTCTATGCAATGTCCTCACTAACATTCTTTCTGCATTCAAAAACGAAAAAAAAAAAAAAAAAA